GCTTTATCTTCTGAGCAGCACTGAGTGACAAGAAGAAGCTGTATTTTATCCCATGCTCTGTCACTGTTTTTCCCCATCTTGCATTGTACTGCTTGATTGTACTCTTATGAGTCACAGAACCGCACCTGCGCCCATGTGTTAAGTACTGACAAATAAAAGCCCAGCGTCCATTTACACAACAAAGAGATGTAACCCGCGAGGCAACCATTCTTTGCCTCCCTCCCTCCGTCTGACAAGACCTCAAATATATCACTTACTTAAGAGGAAGGCAGCCAGCACACGTTCGTGCTCCTGCCAGGGACTGCTTCTCTCCCTCATGCTCTGACAAACTTCTTTTCAAATACAAATCCAGAAACAAAACACATGCCACCCTTTTATGTTCGGTGGCCTGTTCCATATTTAATTTCAGAGTAACAGCAGTAGAGGTGACGATTATCAAAGCTCTGAAAGGCAAATCCAGTCTCAGGCTCCCTCACCAGAAAAAAAAGAAAAAAGAAAAGAAACCCTGTCATTGTTTAAGGAGAGAAAATGGTGGATTTTGGTAAACCAGTTGCTCCTTATTAAGACGAGAAAAAAAAACCATCTCTTACCAGTTCTAGGAATTTAAGGCAAGGCTTAATAAAACCTTTGCCAATCCACCAGGGTTTTAACAATGAACATCTGACTTACTGATTTATGCATATTAATGAACTCCAACACCCCCTGTCTAAGCGAATACAAGCTGAGCTCCACACTTCTCTGCATCCTAATGGTTTCTGCTCCACCGGGATCATTACCAATAGAAATTTCAGATATTCTGTGCTATTAATCTCTGTCTGTCCTCCTGTTCGGCTACGTAATGACTAATTAAACATCAAAAGAGCAGAGCTGGGGATCCGCTTTGACAGCCTCTCTTTCTCCCAGGAGAGGCTGTGAGGAGGCTAGACTGTGACAGGGCAGCACTGAAAATCAATCACCTCAAGGCCCACATGTGTATGTACGCACACACACACACACACACACACTGAGTCACGCATGTACACTCACACAAAACCGCAAAAAATCCACAGAAAGATGTACCCCACGGAGACCTTTTCATGCTAAGATTAAACAACAAGCTTGCAAACAACAGAAAGTCAGAACTTTGTGAATTAACAGGCACCGCTGGTGTCACCGCCGAACAAGACCTCCCCCCCCCCAAAAAAAACACACAACTGAATTTCCATCCAAGATGTGCGGTAGCGATGTCAAGAGCGCTCTTTGTGTACAAGTGGAAAAGGGAGGGTGTGTGAGCAAGATGTGTGTGTGTGTGTGTTTGTTTAGGTAAGCTCACTGTGAAATCTATTTATATGAGAGGTAGATGATCTTCCACTCACAGATGAAGGCAGGCCAGGAGGGACCTTGCGAACCTTTTTTGTTTGTAGAGGATCTGTGAAGAGATGAAAGCACATCCATTCATTCAAAGGCATAAAAAATAATAATAATAACAGGCAACTGTAAACAAGCCATAACTCACCAACAAAACCCATTTTGAGATGTAAAGTATTACTGTGACCGATTTGTGATTTTCACATAAACAA